CCCCCCCCCAGCACTCACCCTCGGGATCCAAAATACCCATCCGTGTCCTGGAAGGCGGAGCAGTACTGCTTGAAGTAGCAGTTTAGCGGGGAGGCAAAACACTCGAAGCTGACGCCAAAGAGCTTGTGGAGGGCTTCGAAGACATGCACGGGGAGCGCCCCCTGCAGCCCGGTCCCTTCGTAGAGCCCGACACCACACATCATCTGCAAGGAGAGAGAGACCCACTGACTGGCCCCTGGTCCCCCAGTGACCCCCCCCCTTTGAACACTGTATATCCGTTCACCCCACGCCTTTTGCTTTAGTCTTAACACAGAACCTGAAGTGTAGAAGCCCTGCCAATACTGTATCAATGAACTTTCCTTCTGAAGAAGCGAGTTGTTGGTTCTGATTGCTGCAGGAGTCTGACACCCGCCCCCCACCACCCAAGCCAGGCTGCCCAGCTTGCCAGCAGCGCCCAAAGGGAACTTGCAACCCCCATGTGGCCCACCCTGGGCAGGGAAAGGAAGACTGTCTCCCCCTCCCCCCTCCCGACGCCCAGGGTGCATCAGCCCACGAGCAGCAGCAGCCCGACCGCCCCGGCCTACCTGGTATCTGCAGAGAAGGCACCAAACCCTCAGCAAGAAGCGCTCGAACCCCGGGTCGTCGATGCAGCTGTACCGATAGAGGAGCCACTGCAAGAAAAGGGAAGGTGCTGCAGAGACCCCTGGATGAAGATGCCAGCAGAGGGGGAGGGGGGTCAGCAGGCCGGACTGGGATGCGGGAGACCCGTGTTCGAATCCCCCCCCCCCCCCCCCCCCCGGCCACGGCAGCCTGCCGGGTGACCTCGAGCTAGTCCCACCCTCTCAGCCCAACCGCCTCTCGCAAGGCTGTTGTGAGAACCAAATGAATGTGATTTCTGAATGTGGCTTCTGATATTTCCTCTGACATGTTTATATGCTGACAGCAGTGTTCCCTCTAAGCTGAGTTAGTGTGAGCCAGCTCACAGTTTTTAGCCTCCGGCTCACACATCTTTGCCCTAGCTCAAGAAGGATGGCTCCAGGGCAAACTAATTTATGCAGTAACCAAGTTGCTCGCTCACAACCTTAATGCCAGTAGCTCACAAAGTAGAATTTTTGCTCACAGGACTCTACAGCTTAGAGGGAACACTGGCTGACAGCTGTCACTCTGCCTTCAAAAGTCTAATTATAATAAATCCAGATCTTGGTATGTAATCTAGAATTTTCTGATTAGAAAAACTTATATTAGAATATATATATTTTATAACTGTACCTTTTGAATACAAAGTTATATATATGTTAAGGAAAAGCATTATTAGAGGCCTCTGGGGATAGAATTAGGATGTAATAAGAATGGGATGCGTATTCAAGAAGCTGCAAGGATGTCAAGAGCGAAGCTGAGATGTGAATCAAAACCCTCATCACCCAGCAGCTCCCCAGAAACAAGGGAAACAAGAGGGACCGGCTTCACTAAAGGTCCGAAAGGTTCTCAGTGTTCCCGAATGTCCCCGTTGCTCTGAAGAGCAGATAAGCAGATGCAATCCCTGACAATACATGAGAGACCAATAGTAAGGTTTAAGGTAAAATGATGCTTGTATGATGTTAACTGCTTGGTACCAGTTAGAGACTCTTTAATGTGTAAACTATATGTGATGTCATTTGGGGTAGAAGACCTTCTGCCCTTTCTGGTTATGGCAGAATACAGCTTTGGAATGGCTGAGGTGCGAGGGCATTCTGCCCCCTGTATTCCCTGTTTTCAATGCATTAAACAGATATTCATCTAACTCGTTGGACTCTGACTACGTGTTCCCAATTCGGCACGGGAGCAGGCAGGCACGGATTTGTGTATCACCCACGAGGAGGGGAAAGGGAGGTGCCCAACAGGAGGCAACCACTGTGTGGGCAGGGGCAGGCATGCGGCTTGGCCACGAGGGGCCGCCCCGCCCCTTGGCCCTTACGGCCTCATAGAACAACCCCCCACCACCCCCACTGCTGGGGTGCATGAAGGGGAAACGGCCGCGCAGCAGAAGGCGCCTCCCTCTCCCTCCCTCCCCTCTCCTCCGGCCCGGCACGTACCAGCTTGCTGAAGTAGTTGCGGCTCACTTTCACCATCTCGCCTTTGTAGCGCACACAGACCACGTTGTTCTCCACGTGCATCTCCACGTTCGGCAGCGGCGGGGAAGGGATGGCCAGCCTCACCGGGAAGCAGTAGACAAGCCGGTCCTCCGCCTCCGGAGGAGCCTCTACCTCTGCTGCACATTGGGAGGGGGGGGGAACACGTCAGTCCCTGTCCCCCCCACCCCCGCACTCGGCACCACCCTTCCAAAACACGCCTCGCCGGAACTGCTGCAGCGGAGGCCGACCGGCACCCACGGATCAAAGCCCACCGTGCGGCACCAGCCCCCGACACGTGCCTCAGTGGGCTCGATGGAACATGGCTGGACTGGACCCGGGGTGTGTGTGTGTGTGTGCAGGGCTGCCATTCCAGCCGATGACCCCCCTCTCTCCTTGGCACCTACCCGATATGGCGTGTTCCTTGAGGATGGCCAGGTGCTTCTCTCGGATGCGCTTGGCGTACTCCAGCGAGATGTGGTAGATCTTGCTGCAGATGCCCTCCACGGAGTCCTTGGCGGCAGCAGAGACGTGGGGGCCACACTGCTTGCGCAGGTGCTCCAGACGGTCCTGGGGGGGGGGGAGGACAGAGAAGCCCTTACGCACTCCCAGTGGCGGCTCTAAGCCAAGGGCACTCATGGGCTCCCTGCTGGGGCCTCGCGAGACGGGGGGAGGGGATCCACTGACCATGTAGTCTTCCTTGGAGGCCAAGTGGTCCCGCCGCAGCCAGCTGAAGGTGTCCTCCACGTTCCACTTGACCACCTTCCTGCTGTCCGGAGAGGCACTCCTGCACCCAGAGCCAAACAAGACTTCCCTCTCAGGCCACTGGATGTGCCACTTTTGTTTTAATTTTTATGAGAAATGCTATGTGTAATGATTCCATGTTTTGGTGTGTGTGTCTCTTTAAATGTTGAGTTTGACGGCACAACATAAGAAGAGTGATAGTGTGATTTGATTGGCTGCTGGCTGAGAGGGTGGGAGGAGGGGCGTCAGAGAGGATTCTGTGGGTGTGTCTATGAGGAGATTCTGTCATATGAGAGAGACAAGTGTGGAAGAGTTTTGAAAAGAGTCTCTGTGACTCTGAGAGTTATGAAGGATTCTGTGTGTGAAGTCTGAAGAGTGAACATAGTCTGTGGGATTATAGGATTTGGAGTCTATTTCTGAGTGAATAAAACCAACAGTTTAGTCTGTGTGGCTAAGAGAGTTGATTCTATTCAGTGTGAATAAAACAAAAAGACTAGCCTGTGTGGCTGTATATAAGAGAGCGAGCGTATACTTAGTGTCTAAGCCTGCCAGAGTGGAGTTTGGAGTTTGAGAGACTGTTTGCGGCACCAAGCTTTGCCAGTTATATTTACAAGTTCCTTTCTTCAGCAACCGTTCAAATTAACCAGAAACCTATTTTGTTCTTTATTAAATAAATCAATTGTTGTTTAAATTTATCACAGAAATCAATACAGTACTTCCTCATAGCCACATAGTCCTCTGAAGTGCCCAGACCCTAGATCATACTACCAAAAGAGAAAGAACTGAAATTTTAATTCCTGGTGGCAGCAGAAAACTACCAAGTTTATGTATTCATAAAGCTGTGGAGTCTTGTGAGTAAAACATCCACTTTGTGAGCTCCTGGCATGAAAGTTGTGGGCGAGCGATTTGGCTACTGCATAAATTAGTCTGCTCTGGAGCCCCATCCTTCCTGAGCTGAGACAAAAGTGTGAGAGCCAGAGGCTAAAAAACTGTGAGCTAGCTCACATAACTCAGCTTAGAGGAAACACTGGTTCTAGCTACTGTGAGCCTAAGACAGAGTTTCTGTGAAAAGTAATACATTTTCTTTTGTTCAGTACAGAATTTGTTTTCTACCTTCAACTCTTATTTTTTCTACCCCTCAAATGGCAGGAGATTTATGTGCTTTGGTAGCACAGGGTGCAACTATTTGCAGCTCTTTCTCAAATACTGGGTGTACTTATTACCATTGGTCTTTTAGGGAAAAAGAGAGAGACTGATGCTTTTAAAATTCCATAAATATGCAAACAGTACTGTTTTGTATGCTAGGTTATAAATGATGCATTTTATCTTATGTCACAAGAAAAAGTGTGGGCTTGATAGGAAAGAAATTATTGCCTCCCCCCC